CATCGCCCTCGTATTTGTTTAAATACAATTCATAAAAAAATAAACTAAGCTTTTGCATGATGACCACATCTACCTAGTTATTATACATCCAACGATTCCACGAACGATTTTTCAATTATTTACATCGTATATTCAGTAGCATTCTATTATTTAATTTTATCAGTAACTTACCATTTTAGTTTATTTAGAAGTAAGTAGATGGCGCTATTTTTAGACGAAATAATGAAAGCCAAAACTATACTATCTAGTAATATCAGCGATAGAAGCGAACTTTATTTCTTATATCAATAAGGCATAAAGTAATATCAATTGTGTTAAAAGTTCTGTTTCTGTTAAAAAAAAATACGCTATCATCGCCGCTAGCAGTGAAAAACGATTTAATGATATCGTCATATTACCATATCATGAAATAGCAACGTTGTGTTTAGTAATTAATATCTTCAAACAATTTATATTCATTGATCTGGTCAAGCTATATCATGACATGGTCAACAAATAATGTTAAATATCATGAAATAAACAAACCATTTCACGAAATGATAGACTATTAATGATATATGATCAACTCTACTGAATGATAATGAAAATTATGCAATAATTGCAGATAGATCAGTTTTAATCAGTTTACATATAGATTAGTAATTGAATAGAAAATTACCGTTCGTGTGTAGCGGGTCCTTGATTTTATATGGACTTGCTGCGTTCGGAATCCCGAATCGGAATATCGAAACGGAATTCCGAAGCGGAATTCCGTATGTATGTGGCCGACCTAAGTTAGTACCACTTTATGACGTCATACCTGTCAAAAAACTTCACTTAAGAATGATTGAGTATGATGTGCAAAAATAATACAACGAAATGAAAATAAACTATATATTTCTACCGTATTTAATTCCTAACTTTAAACTTCTTTATAAAATGTTCATAGTTAAGTTGCTGAACCAAATAAGACCAAGTTTATTACTTGCTTTAACGCCAATATGTATAAATTGGCTTTGGTCTTCAACATAAGCGTCTTAAAAATATTTCCGTATAAAATTATACAGTGCCTCTCGCCTAAGAAATTCTTTAACATTCAAAGTTAGTAGAAATAAATAGAAACAGACAAGACTTTAAACCTCATGAGACGCTTTTATATGGGAAGGGAACGTACGCATTTTAAAACATTGCACGTCAATATTCATAGTTCAAAAGTAAAAAATGAATATCAAAATTAAAATATTGCTCATTTAACTTTTTATCGATAACGTGCATGAAACGATTTTAATTACAATTTTATAGAGACATGAACGTGACATTTATTCACTTTTAGGTAGCAAAAATAATTTTACCACTTTAGTTTTATTTACAAATTAATATAGAAATTGAATTACATATGTTATTTTATAAAAGTTAAGTTTTACTTTGTATAAATGGGGATTTTGTCATAGTTGCCTCAATTGGCAGGCGGGTTGGCAAACGCATTTTTTATCATTTGAGTTATCAAAAGATTTGTTTTACATTTTTTTCATTGAACAGTGTACATATTATAAGGTAGAAAATAAAAACGTCAGCACCCAGTCTTTCATTTTATCTAAATTTCCTAAAATCAGACTATGTTTACGGGAGGGCGAGAAACGTTATCGCTTTTTGTATGAAAATTTACAGCTACACAGCCTTCTTATATTTATTCTTATTATATATAATTAATATGTGGTTATATATTTTTTAATTTGTAATTTTTGACCGCCCCCTCCCCCTCGTCACGAAAAGTAAGCAAAGCTCTTACCCCCTCCATGCTCACGTAAACATTTATATAAGAATATTGCATGCCTTAGTCTAGTTCTACTAGCACCTAAAAAGTAGTCTTATCAAGTCCGCATGGACGGGTAAACGATAACTTTTGAAAATATAAATTGTTTAACTCAATCTATTTTTTAATATTTTCATCTATCATGAGGGAAGCCATGGAATGTAAATGACACTTTAATCTTGTTTTGTTTAGTTATAATTAATTTCTAAGGCTGAGAAATGCCGAAATTATCGGTGTTTTGTGCAGCCTTGTAATAATTTATTTTACTAAATACACTTTGCCTTATTCGAACTCGGCCTCGGCCGCTGGCGTGAGTGGACGTTTGCTTACAACAGCGGTAATAGGCAGCAAAAATATCGATCGCTGTAGAAATACAAAATAATCCAAAAAGCAAATTCATACTTGACCAAGGTTATTATTTTTATAATCACAGATTTTTATTACAATATTTTGTTTCACTGGAACTCGTCGAAGAGTAGAACTAGGTGTGCCGAGTTTGGTTTCGTTTTAACGCTTTATTACCAACGGTATATGGAAAATCTGTGAAAATATAAATAGTCCTCTCCTAATCATTTTTACTATATACGTCCGTGCAATTGCAACTCGCTTGCTGCATAACATCTAATCGAATTAATTTTAAATTAATTTGATAAAAGCTCGTGTAATGATAAATTCTTGTCAATCAAGCTGATTCGGTGAGAATGTTGCTCTTCAGTTTCATTTGATAAACATTCGTTTATCAAACTGATTCGTTGTGATGGTTGGTCTTTCGTTTCATTTGATAACCTGTCGTGTATCATGCTGATTCGGTGAAAACGTTCCTCTTCCGTTTTATTTGATAAACGCTCATGTAACAAGATAATTCAATGAAAATGTTGATCGTCCGTTTCATTTTATTAACGTTCGTGTATCAAGCCGAGTCAGGGAGGACGTTGCTCTTCAGTTACATTTGAAAAACGCTCGTGTATCAACTCGAGTTGGTGAGAACGTTGCTCTTTAGTTTTATTTAATAAATGTAATAAATGTAAAGCTGAGGCGATGAAGACGATGTTCTTCAGTTTCTTTTGAAAAACGCTCGTGTATCAACTTAAGTTAGTGAGAACGTTACTCCTCAGTTTCGTTTGAAAAACGTTCGTGTATCGAGATGATTCGGTGAAAACGTTGATCTTCAGTTTCGTTTGATAAACGATGGTGTATCAACCCGAGTTGGTTGGTGAGAACGTTACTCTTCAGTTTCGTTTGATAATCGTTCGTGTATCGAGCTGATTCGGTGAGGACGTTGCTCTTCCGCTACGTTTGAGAAACGCTCTTGTGTCTGATGGAATCGCTTAGCACGATGTCCTGAACGTTCGTTACGTCTGGTGGAATTCGCATAAGATCTCATTTGTGAAAATCCCTTAGACTATTTTTTTACTTTTTAGACACCAAAAATTACTGGTTAGGTATTGTAAATATTTAAATAACAATAATTGTAACTTTCCTTATAAATTTCTTCTTTTCTTAGCACAAAAAATATTATTTTTAACTATATAGTAATGTGGGCAAAGTTTTAAACCTTGAATTTTCTGTTTTTATTTTTTTGGAAAAATTACTTATTATTACTTATTATTTAAAAGCAATCTATGCTCATACAGCCTAGTCTGACATGTATTATTTTGTTCACAAAATTCCTAATAATGTGCTGATTCTGATGCATTACGTTGCGAAGTTTTGAGAGATTTTGACTATAACTTAACCCAGCGAAAACGTGATTCCTGCAGATACTTTTCCATGGGATTCATTTGAGTGTATATACCATAGACAAAAGAAAAAAATATTGACAAGCAGTTGACACACTAAGTGTGCGGCACCTAGACATGGCTAACTCATCAAAATTCCTTGCGTTAACTCAGTAACTCAAGCGCAGTTTACTGTGCTGGCTCATTGCGTTAACTCAGAATTGTACCATGGTGCAACCAATTTCCAACACATCGGTCAAGTTAGCCATCTGTCAAATTAAAACTGTGTGGCCAGTAAGTAAAATAAAATGTAGAAAAGAAAGAGTACCTACGTATTAGTACTATGTATCACTCCCTTTACATTTCACGGAGTTGCAATTTATAAAAATTTTACCTACAGGTTAAATGTATAATGAAGGATTTTTTTCTGAGGTGAGTTATATTTAGGTACCAAGCACTTAATCATGATTAATTACGTCTGTTAAACTGTAATGTTCACTTTGAAATCTGAGATTTTGCAAATACAAGTGAGATTTGTTTTGGTCAAGAATGACGCCAGGCTGATACAGGCCGATAGCATGTACGCCAACGGTCTCGTTTATCTTTTTTACTCTAACATACGCATATAATATTATGCTCTTTTTATTTTGCGTTACTAGTCTATTCTAACGTTATTTTAAACTAAATCTATAATAAATATAACAACATATTCAATACATTTTGAAGAAGCATATTACGTGGTAGAGCCATGCTGCAGCTATATTAGTAATATAGTTGTAGCACGAATGGGTCGGCTCGACCGGGAAAGGACCACGCTCTCAGAGAATACCAGGGTAAAATAACAGCTTAACATATAAATATCTCCCAGAATTCATTATTTAAATACCATATAAATAATGAATTCTGGGAGGTTTTGCCGGTAGCTTGACCGGTGGCGGATTGCTGCTCCTGTATTATTTAAATAATGGTTTAAAATGAATTGTTATATGTAAAAGTGGTGCGATTTTGTATATTAAATGTGAACTATTCGTGGAAACGGTGAAACAAATGCTCCGATGGTCATATGAATCTCAAAATAAGGTGTCTCTCTGCTTAGGCGCCTTGACGTTCTGTTTCTGTCTGCTGACTCAAGTTGCCGTCAAAATCTCCCAAAAACTACGCAAAGTGACGCATCAATATATTGTGTAGCAGTGTACTATAAAGGATTATTATCACTTGATACTGCGACAAATGAAGACCTGGCTTAAAAGACTAGCATCTACGCCAAAAATCTTAATAAAAATAATGAAATCTGACATTGACATTTGACACAAACGAAGTTCTATTTAGGTATTTAGTTGAGTCTATGTGTATTTACTTACTAATTCTATTTCACAAACAAAAACAATACATTTAAGTTGTACAGAACTTAATAAATATTAAATAATATAATAGTTGATTAGTAATTGCAGTGGAGGACGAAGCGAAGACTTCCAAATTAATTATGAACCATGGTGAATGTGATGAAAGGAGTCCTTGTTGAGTGGTTAGTATATTCTTTAGGTTATATTAAGTATAGGTATATAATTTTATTTGGGAAAATATCTGGAATAGTATCTTTATTGACACAAGATTTTGATTAAAATATTATGTCAATTAAGAATAGCAATTAGGTATTCTAAAATTATTAATTCTTATAAATTTTTGCCGAAACTTATAAATTGTACGAATTCATGAAAGTAATTAATATATTGATCATGGATAGTAATATAGTAATTTTGTTCTTATAGTTAGAAAAAAAGCCTATATCTGATATATCCAATAGGTATTTTATTTATAATTATTATTAAAAACTTAAATTATTTTAAGCAATATCTTAAGGTTCAGTAGTTGTGGTAGTAATATATTCTATGGTCATCATAAATTAAGTATCAATGTAATCTAAGTCTTGGGGAATGTTAAAATTTTGTTCAATAACTTCATTCTCCATTTGAAATGTATTTTTAATATAAGATTTGAGAATATAAATGTTCTCTGTCCACCTGTTGATAGCAGTTTTTAAGTCCTGGAAAAAATATTGTTTATTATTAACATTTATATAATATGAAAGATATGTAATTTATAGAAGGAATAGAAAATTAAACACAGTAAGAATTTGTAGTGGTTCTCACCATAGTACATAACATACATAATAAAGGCCTTTGGTCTTTCTGATAATGTGTCAGCTAGCATACTTTTCTTGGTTTTGCTAAAACTTATACCCTTGTACTGGTAAAGTGACTCCTCACCAGTCTAGTTTTGAATTTTGGGTTCACCATTTTAGACGGATTTCCTACCAACAATTTCTTAGAGCCATAACAGCAAATCATATCATATTAAGGTGTTGAATACCCTATAACTCCCTCATAGAATTATAAAAGGCAACCTAGCGTTTATAGGAAAATCATAATAAATATTGTTTAGTTACCTCTGTCTCTGTTTTCAACTGTGCTATGTATTCAGGATCTGAATCTCTGTATTTCTGTAGCTCTTTATTGAGTTCTGTTTCTTGCTTTGTCAAGTCTGCTAGCGTTTTCAGTACCTTCTCCCTTTCTTCATTTGGTTCTCTACCCACCTTGTATTTATTATTGTTTTCAAATTTTATTGTTGCAAATATTCTTGTAAAAACTAATAATCTACACTGATACTATTTCTAATACATGGTATGGCATAATATATTCTTTTTCAAATACCACTACTAGTTGTAACTAAGTACTAAATTGTAGAGCCTTGTTATAGGTACTATATTATGGTTGCAGCATGAATAGGACTGCTCAACCAAGTAGGACCATGCTTGTATAGAATACAGGCAAAACAAAATATCAACTTAATTCTGCTGTGTGCTTTATGGATGTGTAGAAAACCAGAGTCTCTTTTGACTGGTAAGAAGGTATTCTCAGTCCTCAGGGGTCGCACAATGCATCGAAATTTTGATTTTTAATTAACGATAGAAGTAGGAGCTTATAGGCCACAGTATCCACTAACCAACAGTTGGACTGTGTGCTGATGTGTGCCAAAAAAAAACTTTTTTTATGACACTATAATATAGAATATTTCCATCCAGTCAAAACCCACAATTACATTTTTACTATTTTAATTCCATACTTACTGATTCAGTTGCTATTGAATCTTCTGTCTTTTTCAACTTTTTTATACACTCCTCCAACTCATTTTGTAGATCATTGAGTTTTCTTTTCTTAGCATTTTTTGCTTTACTGTAACATTATAAAATATAAAACATTAAAAGATTACATGGCATACCATAATCTACGAGGTGGTAGAGTTTGTTTGTGGCCTTATATAGGTCTACAATTCTATCTTTAGTCTATCATATTTGGTATAATAATTAAGAGGTTGGTACTTCACATAAAATTATAATGAATATAGTGCAGAATAGCAATTTTTAAATTGGGTTCCATGGAATAGTCAGCAAGCTTTCATGAATCAGCTGCATTTGTCATAACAATTTTACAGTTGTTAATTGTACAGTGAAAAATATTATTTTGGAAAATCACAAAACATATTTAGTACAAATGTAATTTGTAGTCTTTCATTTGTTATTGTTGAATATAGGGTTCCATAAAATAAAAGGAATTTGTCGAGTGTTCCATACATTTAGTAACATGCTGGTGTAGAGATCTGATGTAATCAAAGGATGAAGGGGGAATATGAATTCAGAAATATAAAATATGTTTCGGTGTGTAATGTCTCGTGTGGACGTCAAACACCTCAGTCCCCTCCGTGACGTCGGGAATTAAAAATTTAAATTAAACGCTATAAAATCTGTTAAAATTAGTTTCCTTTAATGTGTAGTCTCTGCGTAAATATAAGAAATCATTATCATTTATACAAGTTATTTCATTATAAACAATGGAGGATAAAGACATTAGTTTTTTTATTTCAAAGATTCAAAAGTATTTTACTTTCATGTATTGGACTTTTCTCTTTATAAATAACAATCAAAGTTTTCTAATGATTATAAATAATTGAGTTGGTTGAACAAGTTTGTGTATTTGGGATTTCTAGCAGACATAGTAGATATGAAAAGGGTATAGAATGACGTGTGAACACAGGAAATAGAGTAAATGAAGCTCTTCACTCTATTGTGGGAAGTCAGAATGTGTCAAAAAAAGCATGTATGGCAATTCACAATGCTATGTTAGTCCATATCCTAATGTATCTTAGTGAAAGTTAGGTGAATTTTTTTATAGAATAAGGGTGACAAACACACACAGTCCACCTAAATGGTATATGGTTGCTGTGGCCCATAGATATCTACATCTATCTGCGATAATTATTCAAAATGTAGATGCGTTGTCGCCCATAGGCAGAAGAAACACAAGAGTAAAATTAATGCTGTAGAAATGTGATCATTAAGGAGTATGTTAGGGCTGAATCTGAATGGCAGGGTGAGAAATTGTGTGATAAAAGAAAACCGTGGTTTACAAGATAATGTTGTGACCAAGATTAAGAAAGGAATGCTTTGGTGGTTTTCGTCATGTAGAAGGAATGAATGAGGAAAGTGACAAAGCAAATTTATTATATAGGCCAGATTAAGAGTGCTCTTAACCGATGAGCATGTATGTGTAGGTATATGGATGTAAAGGAGGTGAGAGAGGTGGGTCATTTTCGTGCCAAATGAATGTCCATACTCTCTGCCTACTCCTCTGGGTGACAGGTATGAGTGTTTATGTATGTATGTTATGTATGATATCTATAATGTTTTGTATCTTAAAACCACTTACCTAGGAAAAGACCAAAAGTAAATAGAAGTGCCAATTTTTTCAGAGTCCACAAGATGGTCGTCAACTAAACTTTGTAAAACTTCTTTAACTGATTGCATTGTGATACCTTTTTCCTTTGGAGCAATTTTTTCCAATTCCTATTAAAATAGAAAATCATTTGAGATATCTCGAAAGCACCCCACAAGAACTTTCTATAAATAAAATAATATATAAAAGTAGCAACTCAAGAAGGCATGCAGATCAATTATTGATCATCATCATCATTAATGCCCATCACAAGTCCACTGCTACTTCGTAGCAGGTTTATTGTTCACTGGACTTGTAGATAATGTGTCTAATGGCGCGTCTCCACCAAAGTTTTCAACATTTGTCAACACGTGTTGCCGACAAATGTCGCGTCTCCACCAAAAATGTTGACAACATTTATGTTTCCGACATGTTGGCAAATCAACAAAAGTTGACGACATTTGTTTCAAAATGTTGCAAATCAAAGGAATACGCTTGTTGCCGACATTTGTTCCCTCGGTGGAGACGCTTCTTACAACATTTTGAAACAAATGTCGCCAACTTTTATTGATTTGTCAACATGTCGGAAATATAAATGTTGTCAACATTTTTGGTGGAGACGCGCCTTTAGATATTTAGTTTTTTTGTATGAACATTTACACAACTAAACATGTTAAAATATCTTAATAATCTAGAACTTTGGATTTATGTTCTGATATATAATTCTGTAGAGTTAATTCATTTGAGTTACTGTAAGTAGGATAAGTGTATATTATATTTTATAGTACCTGGGTGACCGAGCTTTGCTCATTGTAAGAAAAATAAATATAATTTTGGCAAAACAGGGATGGACCCTATATAAACTTATTAAATATAAAAAAAAATATTGTTGGGATGAAATTTTGTACTTAAATAATTTTTTGGTGCCGTTTCTGAGAGACCAATTACAATATACTAATTTCACTTAATGTATAGGATAATGCTAGTACAAAAGCAGTATGTCTGAGAAATTAAAATAAATTTAGAGGACAAGTAAAGTCCTGCAGATTGACTATTATTAAAATGACTACATAAATTTTTTTTTTATAGGATAAGGGTGACAAACGAGCACATAGTCCACCTGATGGTAAGTGGTTGCTGCGGCCCATAGACATCTACATCTATCCTCGTTTGCGAATCAAAATGCAGATGCGTTGCCACCCGTGAGGACTAAGATGGAATGCCTCATTTCCAGTAAAAAGGGCCTCCGGCCACCTGCACTCACCAAGCGAAACGCAGAGGTAAACCTCTACTTCACGCTGGTATTCTGTGAGGTCGTGGTACCACCCCGGTTTGAGCCGGCCCATGCGTGCGACAGCAAAAGCTGCCGCGTGGCCCTACCACTGTTAAAACCCTATCAGTAATTAAAAGGAAGCCTGTGTGTGCCAAGTAGTGAAACATATTGTTGTTGAGCCTACAAAACCTGACACATATTTTTTTGGTGAACGCCAGCTAAGGATGTAATTACAGCCTTTCACAAATCCACTGCTGAAAGTAGGGCTCGCCCAAAGAATGCCACAAAGCATGGTCCTGAGCTACCTAGCATCCATAGATTTCCTGCGTTTCTAACCAGTCACTCCATCTCGTAGGGGAAGTGCAACTATATTAGTTAGTATTTTACCAAAATATGTACCTAAAAACATTTTGTATTGTTTCAATTGTGTACAGTAATAGCAAAATCCTTATGACATACTTAGTTTTTATTTAAATTTCTCCGAATTTAAAACATTGAATGAAACTGTTTATGTTGCCACTGAAAAGTAGTTTTTTAACTATTGGGTTTTGCAGACATTGCCAGTTATGTAGGCTGTTACTTTACTTTCATGATCTCCATGTGAACTCCAAAATATAGCATTATTACCTTCAGTTGAAAAAAATCTTTGCTTTGATGAAAAATTTCCAGCATTCTGGTCTTCTTCTCGTCTGCGCTTAAACCTCGTTTCTTTGACATTTTCGTTTATTTTTTATTCCAGTGATCCGGCTATGAAACAGTTCCTGCTCCACCTGGACGAGACACTTGCACTCGGACGGAAGTTTATTCTTCAAGACCTGGATGAAACTCACCTGTTCATATCATCCGATATAGTAGAGACATTACAAGCGCGTGTTGATGATTTGATGGATCAACTTAGTATTCCAGTTCATGATAAAGGCCTCTAATAGATCTAATAATGACATCAAGAGAATCTGGCAGGGTTAAAGAAGCGGATAAACGAAGAGTACTTGATGATGCTGCCAGGAAAAGAAGGGCCCGCAAGGCCGTTGAGGCTCTTGAGCAGGATAATTTCCATGAAGATCCACATGCAGATTTGGTCATGTCCAAAAAAGTGCCAAAGTTTGCAGACTCCAATGAAAAACCAACAAGAAAGAAAAAGTCAAAAAGTGCAGAGTACTATAAGATGAGATTCAGGAAAACTTTTGCACAACTGGTAGAAGAAGATGCAAGTTTTAGACCAGATCCACCCAATTATTTATCAGCTCAAGTACCACCGTCAAAGTAAGCTACATTTTTTTTTTTCAAAGAGTAAGTAAATGCTGTGGCCCATAGAAAACAACATCTATCCTCAACTAAGAATCTAAATGTAGATGTGTTGTCATGCCTGATGACTAAAACAGAATGCCTTATTTCCAGTAAAAAGTGTATCCGGTTTTCTACACTCAATACAAAACACAGCAGCATTAAGCTGCTATTTTACTCCGGTATTCTATGAAAGCATCGTTCTTCCCCGGTTTAGTCGACCCATTCATGCTACAACCATAATATAACTGCAGCATGACCTTACTATGTAAAAACTTGTTTATTCGAAATATACTAACGAACATTTTAAACTGTAAGAATTTAAACATAATATGACTTATACTGAGCAGTAATTGTAAACTTAAACCTGCAAAGCCCTTGTACAGTAGAATTTAGGGCTACTTCAAAAGTTACACTTATTCAAAATTGGTTGTTTACATTTAGAAAAACAAATTAGTTCCCTTATTCAAAGATATTTCAAGAATATAATTATTTTTCATAAATCCTATCCACATAAATAACTTTAATTCACTACTGCTTAAACTCATTTTTTACAGATTATTATGCTAATTGATTTTATAAAAATAAAAATAAGAATCAATGTTTAAATACAACTTTAAAAAAATTATCCTTAATTCATAGAATTTGAAAAATGCTTGCATAATTAGCAAATTTTATATTATATAATATAATGAACACATTCAACATATTAATGCAGTTTATATTACCTGAATTCATCGAACAATAACGGCAAAGGATAGATAATATTAGTAGGAATTAGGAGCCTTACTTAATGTATGTGTGAAAAAAGTACTCTTTAAAGATTTTTTATACATATTGAAATGATTAGAATCTAAAAGTGTTAAAAGATTTTTATCATTTACCTATATATTTACTATTGATTAAATTACACTTTACGTACTTATTAACTTAACATCAATTATAAAATTTTAAGTTGAAATATTTTATCAATTATTATTTACAGGTTTCCCGAACGACATTTTTGCGCTGTATGTGGATTTCCTTCAAATTATACCTGTATTCCATGCGGCGCGAGATATTGCAGCGTCAAATGCCTTGGCACACATTTAGACACAAGATGCCTCAAATGGACTGCTTAGAAAACGTATTTTCTAATTAGCAATAAATAATTAAAGATTGTTTGTAATAAAATGATTACTTATTACCCGAACTTTTTTAATTCCTAGTTTTTAAACATTTATTTAGTTTCAGTAGTTTTTACTATTAATTACATAATTTAAAAAAAAAAACAAGAATTTTTAAATATATAATTAACTATGAAATATTTTGTTATTGAGTACATTATTCGATGTCGTTGGTTGTAAGAGAAGCCATAGATGTCGTAAGAGTCGACTATTGAAAATGTCAAACAAATCTTATGATGAATCCGATTATGGAGTGGAGTACAAGGAGAAACATCTTAAATAAGGGGCGAAACTTAAAAAAGTGTCCTACTATTTACTGAAAATAGAGGTTCCAAAACCTACCACAATAGCGCTGGCGTCTAAAAAACTATGATATGAAGATGGCTGTTGTGACCGGAGTGAAGTAGCTGAATTCAAATATTTAAAAAATTTCATAACTAGAGTAGTTAGTAAAATGCCAGTATACAAAATCTCAATTATTTACGTAGTACAAAACCAAGCGGATTGGTCGGTCCTTGTTTATTTCTCCATCTTATTCTAATTACTTTTGGCGCTTTTTTTTAACTTATCCTATGTTACTGCAGCGCCACCCTTACTGGACACGTTTTCAGGAACACTTCATATATAGAGATGGTTCTCCTCTCTACACTCCATACATCCGATATACGGCAATAAAACGTTTCGTTTACGCCAGATATAAAATACCCAGAACGGCGTCGGGCAACTGCTGCAATGTCAAAGGTGCGAGGTGTCTTACATACTGTGATCAATCAACCCACCTGCCAAGCCGTGACAAACCCTCGATATAACGGCAGACAGATGAATTAAGTTAATAAGTCTATAGACGTTTTACAATTCAGTTAAGTTAGAATTCTTACACAAAGTCTAGATTATAACAAATCTTTGATAGGAATTTAACAAACTAGAACCAAAGACGCAAATTACTAATTATCTAAACCGTTTTATTTCCATATCCCCTTAGGAGATTATAATATGTAATAAATTTAAGGGAAGTGTTTCTAGAGCTTTATAAATTTTTATGAGCATATAATTACGTACCTTATTTTTTCCTGTTTTTTAAACAGCAGGGAGATGTTAGACGATGTTGGATTTTAATTTACCGCCTAAAATAATATTATTAAATCATAGAGTAATAAAAAAGCTGTGAGCAGGCAGTCATATAATAAAACAGGTGTTACTACTGCTATTTTGTTTTTAATTTAATATATGTAATTGATATATATCATGATGGAATATAATATATTGAAATTAATACCATCATAAATGTTGTATGTATTATTCATACAATATTTTACGTTTAGGATGGTGTTAAAATATCTACCCTGGTTAAAATATATTTTTGTTTCTTTTTAGTGTAAGTGCCATCTAGAGTCCAATAGCTGAAATAATTAATAAAACGGCTTTCTACTTATTATTACATACCATCACAAGATGGCGGAATACTAAAACGTTGCCATCTATTGTCTAATAGTAGAATGTATGTTTCGTGATAGAATATAGATGGCGCTTCCTATAGCACATAACATTTAAATTTTATTAATACACACAAATTATCGTGTTGCCTTGTGATAGCGACATTACAGAGTCCACTATGTGGTGACTATAGATAATATATATATATAATAGTGTTGTAGTGCCACACTGTGAAGCTGAAACTGTATTAAGGCTACAACACGAATAGGTCGGCACGACCGGGGAAGGCCTACGCACGCACAGTAGGTTTACGAGCGAAAAATAGTAGCAGAATGCTGCTGTGTTTCGTAGGGTGAGTGTAATAAAACTGGTGACCTTTTCACTGGAAACGAGCCATTATATTTCATTCATCAGGGGTGACAACACACATGTACTTCGATTCTTTATCTAAAATTAAATTAAACGAAATTTTATTTGCGCGGAACTTGGTTTGGCAACAGCAGTTTTTTTATAATTTGTGTTGTTAGCAGAAAGATGCCGCTCCATATGATACGAGATAATATGAGATGGGTAGATTGGATTCTATAACACCGCCACTACATGGCGAAAATTATAACAGTCATAAAATCACCTAGAGTGGCTCTACCACATACCACGTATGAACATTATTATATAATATTAGCATTAATCTCAACAGCCGACTTCTTTTCTCCTTACTTTTAAAAGCCTTTTCATACATGCACACACACTTTGCAATTGATTTATGTTTGTTGTTTGTGAAAAGACATAAACCTACGTAACACACCAAGATTTAGAATTTTAAAAATGCGTGAAGTACGAAAACATACAATGATACAACATAATTATGTTAGTTGAAATTGAAACACGAAGCTAATTGTTAACCAAGCGTTAAGTTACGAGACTGAGTGAATGTTTGTCCAAATATTTTGTGATAGAGCCACTGGGCAGTTGTATTATGATAGCATTTGACTTCCCTGTCTGTCCAGTGGTGGTTTTTCTGCCAAGAAATTCTTAATAGTAGCCCGGAGTCAGACGTTGGTCCTGGGACTGATCTCTTTTCGGCTGTGTCGCATTCACAAAGTATTTTTTAGTCGCATGGCCGGCCTATCGGACTATGAGAGTGTAGCAATATACCTATAGTGCACATGTGCTTGCGCATATACTTAGGCACTGTAATCCTACCCAGCGCTGACGCTAGTCTGCGTTGAGGTTAGCCGCCGTGACCATAATTCGGTGTTGAAGACATTCTCATCACTGTACCGCAACACGAATGGCTTGGTTCGACGAACGAACAACACGAATGACCTGGAAAGCTCTCACAGAAAGCAGCGTAAAATAACACGAAAATACTGCTGTGTTTTGTATAATGAGTGTAGAGAACCGGAGACCCTTTTACTGGTCACGAAACCCCTAATGTGGTTAGTATTTTTTTTAAATATAAAGGCTGACAGCACGTTTTTAATTTGAATCCCATTCGATAATATATGTAGAGTAAGTGTCTATGGTTCTCAGTATCCACTTACTATTGTGAATTATGTGCTTGAATATTACCTTTTGTTATTTGCACACAAAATGGGTCGATTTTTCAAAAGAAATAAAAAATAACGATCGATATTACTAATAACAAAGTACTATTGCTTTGGGTAGATTACATTGGACACAATGTTGCAACCCTTCGTCTTTTTGGCGGGAGTCGATTGGACGCGTTTATAGCGATTATTGGACATTTGTGACAACAGCTGTCAGAACATATCGCAGCCGCTAATAAAGGGTAACTGTTTACTGACAACTGCCGAGCAAATGGGAGCTAGCAATTTCAATGCGATACGATTGTTACCATAGACTTAGAAGTACATCCTATGTCTATGATTGTTACATATTTGCTTTCACAATTAAAAAAAATAACAATTTATCCATAAGCCTATTTAGTAATAATTTCGAGGTCTAGTCTATCTAAAGCTTTTTATATTTTTTTTATTCTAATAATGACGATAAAAGCGAGGAAACCTAAGCTTAACTCAGATGCTTAGCGAGCAACACGAATTTAAATCTCTTCTGCTGTAAAAACAAATATTTAATTTTAAATTTATATTAAATTTTATGATAAAATAAAAAAAAACTGTGTTACGTAGGTAAATAATTGAAATTACTATGTATTATTTAATTTTTTGTACCCACAATTTAATATTTCGCTACTAAAGTAACTTTGCTGCGCAGTAGCGGAGTTAGAATATCTACCATCCCATATCATCCCGTGGGTGACGTAAGAGGCGAGAGAGAGAAAACTGAAACAGGCAATGGACAGCAGCATTCTTCTGATAACCACTTCAAATAATAAAAAACTGTTGGTTGCCTACCAAGCGTGGCAACTATGGCAAATATCCCCTCTATGAGGCAATCTATGGGGATGCCTGTATTCAGCAATGAACTTTTGATAGACTGTAATAAATTATTGAATAAATGATGAAGACTTTATCTAATTAAATGAGCATTGCTATGCATTTTTTAAATAGAATAAGGGTGACAAACGAGCACACAGTTCACCTAATGGTAAGTAAAGATCTACGTTCTACGATCTACGTTTAACCTCGATTAAGAATAAATTTGTAAATTCATAGTCACCCCTGAGGACTAAGATGCAGTGCCTCGTTTCCAGTAAAAAGGGTCTCCGGTTCTCTACACTCACCGTACGAAACACAGCAGCATTAAGCTGCTATTTTACGCTGGTATTCTTTGAGAGCTTAATCCTACCCCGATCGAGCCAACCCATTCGTGCTACAACCATAATATAGCTGCAAGCTGGTCTCGCCTTTCTGGACCTGCATTTTTTTTATAGGATAAGGGTGACAAACGAGCACACAGTCCACCTGATGGTACGTGGTTGCTGCGGCCGATAGACATCTACAACTATCCTCGTTTGCGAATCAAAATGCAGATGCGTTGTCACCCGTGAGGACTAAGATGGAATGCCTCATTTCCAGTAAAAAGGGCCTCCGGCCACTTGCACTCACCAAACGAAACGCAGAGGTAAACCTCTACTTCACGCTGGTATTCTGTGAGGTCGTGGTACCACCCCGGTTTGAGTCGGCCCATCCGTGCGACAGCAAAAGCTGCCGCGTGGCTTTAGCACTGTTAGGAAAGGACACTGTTACAAGCATATGTGCTTATAAAAAAACATAATAATGGCTCCACCACGTAAATATTTTTTAAAGTTTATATTACTTAGGCTACGTATACCCGTCTCTCAGAAGCAAGAACGGGTTATGTCTGACATGCACAGAATGAAATTTGCAATCTATGTTGCTCTACCTGCGTTGGATATCGTCACAACCACCACCAGCGCTGGCCGCCCCTTGCGATCGTCCCTTAAAATAGGTAAATCCTCTTATTTCACCTCGCATATCGCGTTGGAGCTCAAGCGAAAGCTACGCCATGCTACACATCCTCCATCAAAGGCATAGTTTCAGTCGTGGACAATATGAAGAGCGGCGCATCGTAAC